TGGGTGGCTTTTATTTATTATGAAAGGAAACGTTTTCATGTTGTGGGTCTAAAGCATCTCTTATGAGATTCCAGAGAAAGAAAGTGTTAACAGGAATATCCTCAGGCCCGTGGTCAGAACAGTATTGCTTAATACTATCACCAAATTTGAGCCAGGTATCTAAACTTAAGGTTCCTTCCCCCGGGAACCACGGGGCGCATTCTTGTACAAAATGAAAAAATTCTCTAAGTTTTCTTCCTGACACATTTACTCCTCTCTTATGGAGCATATGCTTAGTTATATCAATAAATAAACCTCTTTCCTTGGACTCTGTATGTCCCATGATTACTCACCCTTTGCTACCTGGTCTATCTACCAGGGGGTCTGCAGCACCCGGTCGGTGAGAGCCTAGCCTACCCGAGAATAATTTAAGGGGTCTTACCTGAGGGTCCCTGTTTTCGGGCGCCACTTGCCGCGGTCCAGCCGCAGCGGGTCAGGGGGTCCCACAGGTGAGGGTAAGGCGTCGGCGCTGGGTAACAGACGACAACACACCTCAAAGGACAGTGAAGCTCTGTTCCGTTTATTGCAAGTACAAGCAGGTTTTTATATTTTCATTTCAGGTAGTGATTAATATTTGCAGTATAACATGATCATTTAAGCAGAAAAAATCAATATAAAGGTAATCAGTAAAAGTACAAAAGTTCCTATAGATTTAATTAAAGATTATTTTAACTAGGAGAGCCATTAATCAGACAATTAGAAATATCTTATTGTATATTAAAGTTTCTCAGAATTTGGTATAGGGCATAAGGATACGCTAAATTGAGTAGAGAAAATAGGAGATTTATTATAAGGCCCTTGTGATGTCTAACTTAGCTATCTACCTTTTTTTTTGCTTAAAATGTTTTTCTGTGTACTATAAATTCTGACTCCCTAGTGACTGTTTAGTTTGTAATAACTAACTAGCTTTTGTTATTTCTTTGCCTGTCTAGTTGGTATATATTCTTATTCAAGGTAAAGGAGGGACTATTCCTATGTTGCAGGGGGCTTTTAAGGGTACTTCTTTTAAGTTTCTCTAGGAGTTCTTTTATAGACATGTTTTGTACTTTGATTCCTTCTAAGAAAGTAGTGAGATCATCTCCTGATTTCCTAGAGTATTCTATCTTATCTTGGGTGTTTTTCCAACGATCTGTTATTGATTAAGCTTGAATTCTCAGATTGTTCTGGTTGTTTCCTTGTGCCTATATTCCTTGACGTTCTAGTATGATATTATTATTCTGTTCATTGAGCCGGGAAAGGTCCAGGCACACTATCTGAATCACTGCAAGGGTATTCATAATGATTAAAGCAAAAAAGGGTCATGATCCCCAAAGCAAGCACAATCACAATAGGTATTGCAGGGCCTTCCATGCCACGTCCACCAGGTTGGAAACTGCTTCCTTGAAGTCTTACACCCCCTCTCAGGACCTTGTCACGGAGAGAGGGATCCAACAGTGGACGCGGCAGTGGACGTGGCAACCAGTGTTTTGAACTGTGCATCTGATAGGTTGGTTATCTCTTCATTGCTTAGTTGTACTTTTTCTGGAACTTTGATCTGTTCTTTCATTTAGGCCTTTTTTTTTTTTTTTTTTTTTTTGTCTCAGCGCACCTGTTACGTAGTGAGGGTGCGGAGCCTTAGGTATTCACCAGGGCGGGGCAACCCAGTCGCTGGGTTGTGACGCGTTATGTGGGGGAGGGGTTCGAGAAAGAACAATGGCGCTTGCTCGGCTCTCTGCCAGATTTCAGTCCCTTGCCCCGCTGCCCACAAGCAGATTGGGCTCTTCTGGTGCTGGTTCCCGGGTAGGTGGGTTTGTGTGCGTTCTAGGACCCTTGGATCTCTCCAACGAACTCTCCTGTGAGGCTGGGAGTTTCTCCTCTGCTGCTGCAACCCCCACAAGTGTTTTCAGTCAGGGGTTTGAGGCCTTATTTCCCTGCGCTGGGGCCCCGGGCTGCACGGTCTGTTTCACTCCCCAGTTGTTCCTCCCTGTTTATCTGCACGCGAATGTGGGACCGTCTACTCCACCAGCTGCCGCCTCCCTGCAAGTTCTGTCCGCCTGGCTCCCATCTCTGCCCCTCCTACCAGTCTGGATGAATGCTTCTTTGACTCCTTGGTTGTTGGGCTTCCATACAGTTCAATTTTCTGGCAGTTCGGGTTGTTTTTTGCTATGAAGTTTGTTGCCGTCCTTCTCTTGGTTGTGTGAGCAGGCACGGTACGTCTACCTACGCCTCCATCTTGGCTGGAAGTCGTGATTTCTTCTCTGAGCTACGGGTCATTTAGATGTGTGTCGTTTAGTTTAAGGGGTCTTTTTGGATATTGCTCTGTTACTAATTTCTAATTTAATTCCATGATAACAATAATATACTTTGGAATTTAAATCATTTAGAATTTATTAGTGAAGGAAGGCTGGGGACCCATGGGGGCCTGTGGCGGGGGAAGTACAATGGTCACCACCAGACACCAGAGGGCGTTCAGCAGAGAGGGCATTTGATTGGAACTGGGTTTCATTGGTCTGCGGTGCCTCAGATCTGAGAGGGAAGCGGGATGTGCAGGGTGGGGCACCTGGGACCCGAGGCCTCCCTGTGTCGACAGGGAGACTGGGCAGTGGCCTAAAGAGCGGACCCCCCGGGAGGGGTATGACTTTGCGGCAGGACCGAGGGCGATAGGGCACAGAGTGCTGCAGGGGGGCCGAGGAGCTCGGTGTCCTGGGCAGAGCCCTGGACCGGGCGCCGGCCAGGGGGGCAGTTCGCCGGGGGGCGGGGGAGGTTCACCCTGTGACTCTCAGCGTGTCACTTCATCTTTCCGGGCTTGAGTATCTTCGCCTTTCAAAAAGCTGGCCAGCCTCCATTACCCTATAGTTTCAACAGCCCAGGCCGCTGCTGGAGAGGCTTTGCGGAAAAGGAAAAGGTGACCCTGTGAAACAGACCAACAACCAAAAGGTGCCCTGAGGTGTGAGGCTGAAATGAAGGCCCCATGTCATGTGCTTTTTTTTTTTTTTTTTTTTTATTTATTTATCTTTAGAGGGGAAGGGGGGGAAGGAGAGAGGGAGAGAAACATCAATGTATGGTTGCCTTTTGTGCGTCCCTGCTGGGAACTGGCCTGCAGGGAACCGGCCTGCAACCCAGGCATGTGCCCTGACTGGGAATCGAACCGCGATCGTGTGGTTCGCAGGCCCATGCTCAATCCACTGAGCTACACCAGCCAGGGCCTCATGTGCTTTTTGACACCGGGCGAAATTGGAAGGGTCTCAAATCACCTAACTGCAAGTGTTTGTCCCCGGCCTGCTGCTGTGGACAAGGTCCTCTGGCCAAACACTGTTCCCGCCAAGGGGACCAGGTACAGTCCCTGTTTTCTCTGAGACCATGTGTTAGCTTTCTGCCAACCTGTGAAATCACCAAATAAGCCCACGACACCCTCCCTCAGGAGCCAGCCCCCCCGACTCGCCGGGTGACACAAGGCCTCCTCCCACAGCCCCAGGTGGCTCCGTGCTCCTGAGTGCACCCCGTGCGACCCCTGTGGTGTGCAGCAGCCGTGGGTGCCTGTGACGCATCAAGTGCAGCCCATCTCCTCTGCGCAGGGCCTGGTGTCCTGTGTGAGGCCACGGTCCCTGTGACCCCAGGGCAGGGAACACTCCCTCACCAGCAGGGTCACCCTGGCTGGCGGCTGGGTTGGTCGGAGCACTGCCCTGTGCACCAAAAGGTTGCAGGTTCGGTTCCCAGTCAGGACACCTGGCTGGGTGGCGGGTGCGATCTCTGGTCCCGACGTGTACCGGACGTGTCTCTCTCTCACTTGGTGTTTCTCTGTCTTTCTCTCTCAAATCAATGTGTTTATTTATCCTTGGGTGGGATTTAAAAAAAAAGAAAATACCCTTTGTCGGAGTGAACATAGCCCCCGTTAGGGCCAGTGTAGTCCTGGGCTGGATTCCAGCCCCCACCTGCCCCTCAGCAGGCGCCTCGGGGCGGGCACGACCCGAACGCCCATCTCGGGCGGCTGCCGGCGGTTCTGCCTGTTGGAGCCAGGCCTGTGCTCGGAGCTGCCAGCCCTGCCTCCCCGTCCCCGGAGAGGGAGGTTCCGCCATCACTCCCCTTCCCAGGTGAGGACTCTGGAAGTCGGGGGAGAGACCGGACCCAGGTCTGTCTGGAGCTGCCCCTGTCTGTCCTGGGGTCTGCTCCAAAGCTTGGGTGCAGCCCTGCAGAGCCAGGTTCCGTGAGGATGGGAGGGCGCTGGGTAAAGGTGTGGAGACCGAAGGCAGCCCGGCGGGCCCTCCGGGGTTGAGGCGGAGAGTCTGCCCAGAGTGGGGGGAGCAGCAGCTGGCCTGGCCCCGGCCACGCCTGGCCCTCGGGGCTTCTGCCCTGTGATCGGAGATGAGCCCATTCCCTCTGCAGGTCTTTGGCAGAGGGGCTCTACCCAGGCAGGACTGCTAGAACCAGGTGCTTTTTGTGAAGACCGCCACTCACAGGTGGCCCCTGGCTGCTGCTGCCCCCTAGACTAAACGACAGAGAGGAAGTGGGGAAGGGCTGCACCTTCAGAGTGGGGAGGGCGGTGTGGACTGTATGGGGCTGGGTCGTGTCAACCACAGCACCCGCAGAGCACTGGGCGGTGCCGGAAACACAGTGGGAACACAACCAAGGCAGACGCAGTGGCAGGGGGAATGAGGTCCCAGCATCCCTGCATTGGAGAAAAAGTCACGTAACCGCCCTGTGTCTCCGTGGCTCTGACGGTGAGATGGCACACAACAGCGCCTTGTGGGGCTGCCCTCGGATGAGCCGGGGGCTGTGTCGAAGCAGGAGGGGCCCCTGAGCACCGGCTGTTAGCAGCACGGTTACCATGACGCGGTGCCTGCCCCGCTTGGCGGGTCTGTGTAAACACCACACTCGGGCAGGGCAGCTGCTGCGAGTGACCATGTGCCGAGGGCCCGGGCCTCTCCTGGGTGCTTTCCTGTTACCACCCGTTCAAACCCCAAAACAACTCTTCCAGCTTGGCTGGTTTTTCTTTTTTCTTTTTTTTTAACACCCGTTTTACAAATGAGGAAGCAGAAACACAAAGGTGGTCCTGGCTACGAAATGAGGTTGGGACGGCTCCCCCACTGCTCCTCTCTCCAAGCACAGACGACGTGACAGCCACGTGACCGGTGCCTGGAGGGTCCAGGAGAACTCGCCCGCGGCTCTGTCTGGGCCCGGAACTCTCTGGGGGAGTCTCGCCTGGGACAGTGGACGCCACCTCTCTCCGGGCAGTTTTGGTGAGAGGTGAGTGGGGTGCCCAGGTAGGTGGAATTTAGCTGCAGGCGGTCTGGCCGCAGAGCCGCTGGGCCAGGCACCATCGTATTCTCCCGCCCAAGGTGCCATCGCCTATGACACGTGGAGGCAGTCGCTTCATCTCCCTGAGGTTTTTGAAAAGGCAGAGAGCTGTGGTCTCTCCCTGGCAGGGGGTTGTCGAGATTAAACGGTTCCAGAAACACAAGCCTCCTGCCCCTGGCGGCTGCGGTCATCCCCATGGCAAGCCCGGCCCAGGTGCAGCCCTCCCCACCAGGGCGGCTCCCTGACCGGAGCCCCGCCCGGCCAGGTCAGAGGGCGCCCAGGCCCACTCCCAGGGGGCTGGGAATCCCTCACTGGTTCTCCAGGCCTGGGTAGGGTCAGGTAGTGGAAGTCCCCGAGTCTCCGGAAGGAAGAGCAGGACAAGACTGGAAAGATGGGGAGAGCACCGTGGGAGGGGGCAGGCAGCAGGGGCAGGGCCTGGCGGGCCACCCCATCAGGGGGCCCAGCGTGGCCCCAAGCTGACCTACTAATTGCAGGAAGCCGTCTCCTATCATCCTGTGGGCTGAGGGGGTGGCCCAGACCCTTGTCATTGTTGGCGCTTTAGAGAAGGGGGCTTTACCGAAGAGCGGGGAGGAACATTTGGCTGAGTCAGGAGATGCCAGGGGAGGAGAAACTGGACTAAAGCAGTTGCCTTCTTCAGGGCCTTCCATAATGTCACCTCCTCCATGGAGCCCACCTAGATTTTCCCATCCAGAAAGGGGGCCTCTGCTTCCTGGGAACACCTGAGTCCTTCTTGGGAACTAGCTAGGGCCCACTCCACTCTGGTCTTAGGTAATTTGGGGGCTGGCCTCGGGGCTCCTGTTATGCCACTGAGTTGCCAGCTTGCGCTTTCTATATGATATCAACAAAATCAGTGTGCATCAAAGAAAATGAATGAAAGGCTGCACACGTGAGTGAGTGAGCGCCGCGAGTGCGGGAGAGCACGAGGCTAGAAGTCAGGGGGGCTGCGGTCCACTCCTGACCTCCCGTTAAGGAAGCCCTTTGACACTCAGTCCTGAAGCCTCAGTTTACCCAGCTGCCCAGTGTGGCGGTGGTCTAACTTGAGACCACTTGTTTTCCATCTGGGTCCCCTGGAACCCTTGGGTTCCGAGGAGGGGACTTTGATGGGACAAGGAGGGGCAGTGGGGCACAGGCAGGGTCCCCCTCTACCAGGGCAGCTGTTGGTTTCCTTACCGGGTTCCACCCGGCCAGAGGGTAGTTTCCAGTCACAGGCCTGGAGAGGCCTGCGGGGCCCTGCTGTCGGGCGGCCTCCCGGGTTGGGGCTCGGGGACGGGCTGCTCTGGGAGGCTCTGGCTGAGGACGGCCTCGGGGGAAGGAAGCCGGGCCGCGCGGGCAGTTCCGTGGCAGCAGCTGGGTCCCCTCTGCCCTCTGCTGTGCGTCCCTGGGTGCCCGGACCTCTTTGGCCTCCCCACAGACCCTCCCGGGGGTGTCCCTTTCTCACCCACCCCCAGGGCTGGTGGCTCCTTTGGGGTGCAGCCTACCGCAGCGAGGTTGGGAAGAGTTTGTAGACAGGGTAGCGGGTTAGGCACACACCGAAACGGCCCTTTCCCAGGACCGCGAGGACTACCCACAGGCTCTGAAAGTCTGGGCAGAGGCAGAGAGGCAGAGGGGTCGGCCCGAGAGGTTGCCCAGCCAGCCCGGAGCTGAGGCGCTGGGTCTTCCAAGGCTTCGCTGGGCTGGAGGCAGGTCCAGGCAGTACAAGGCCACCCAGGTTCGGGGGCGACTCAGGGCAGGGTGACCTCATGGCAGGTGGCTGGGGGCAGGGAGGCAAGGCCAGGAGGCAGCCAGGCGTGGGATGGGCGAGCGTGGCGGGGCGGCTGCGGGCAGCAGGGGAGGCCTGCCCCCTACAGGGCGGCTGCTCGGGTCCGAGAGCCCCGGGCCCTTCCTGTGAAGGGGAGGGTCACACAGGGCCCGGGTACCCAGAATCCTCCCACTCTCCCTTGGCCTGGCCGTGGGGACCCCTGGGGCTCACAGAGAGCGGGGTGGGTAGCAGGGTTCCTCTCAGGAAGCTGAGGTCCAGGTCACACTCCAGCCAGCCCTGCCCCTGCCCCTGTCTCCCTCCTTTAAAAAAAATTGTACTTATTGATTTGAGAGAGAGAGAGAGAGGGGGGAAAGGAAAGGGAGAGAGAGAGGTTGATTCATTGTTCCACTTATTTATGCGTTCAGTGGTTGATTCTTGTGTGTGCCCTGACCGGGAATCAAACCAGCAACCTCGGCGTATCCGGATGATGCTGTAACCACCTGAGCCACACAGCCAGAGCCCAGTCTCCCTCCTTAAGAAACAAAGGGGACATAGAGAGGCTCTCCAGGGCCCTGCAGCCTCACTGCAAAATAGAAGAGATGGCAAAGGCCCTCAGCAGCCCCCAGCTCCCTGCGCGCAACACCACGCTCACCGGCTCGGTGCCTCCCTTCCAGGCGCCTTTCCCGCCTCATGCCCAGCAACCTAACGCCTGTCTCGGCCTTGCTGCCCCTTCTTCCCCCGCAGGCTCCAGCCCTGGCTCGGCACCTGCTGGCTGAGGGATCTCGGGCACGTGACTTCACCGCTCTGAACCTCAACTTCCTCAGGAAGACAGGCAGTGGCTATTTGGGGATTGGATTCTGGAGATGATATGGCAAAGGTCGTAATGGTGATAGACTTGGGCAGAGCTGGGACGGTGGGCCCGCCCAGCCTTGGGGCCGGGGGAGGGGAGGGAGGCCAGGGTGGTTCATGCAGAGCGGGGGGCCGGGAAGCAAGGGCCCCGGGCGTCAGCGGCGCCCCATCTTCTCCCGCTCGCCACCCTGGCCTCACTTTGTGGGACCAGCATGCTGGCCAGGATGGAGGGGCCAGTTTTGGCCTGGGAGCTGGTCAGGATCAGGCGGCAGCCAAAGAACTTGAGCAAGAAGTTGTTGGCGGCCCGGCCCAGGAAGTCCAGGGCACCGAAGAGGACTTGGAGGAGGAAGCTGTCACCTCCCAGGCTCTGCAGGTCGTAGACCAACCTGAAGAAGGAGATCGCGAGGGAGAAGCTGCAGGGCGAGGCCGGAAGTTGGGCCCCTGCCTCGCCGCCCGAGGCTGTCCCCAGATCACACAGCCCAGCCTCAGCTTGTCACTGCCAGTGCCACAGACGCCTACCAAACGTAAGTCGTGTCTCCCCAGGGTCGGGCTGTCCCAGGAAAGGGTGGGAAGGGCAGTGGCCTCAAACGTTCCAGGGCTGGGCCATGGTGGAGGCCAAGGTGGCCCCCTGGCCATGAGGAGAGGGACTCTGAGGGGCAGGCTGAGCCCACCTTGTTCTGGCTCCAGCATCCTCTGGCTTTGTTTCTGGAGCCACAGCCTGGCTCCGGCTCTGTTCACCAGAGAGGTCCCCACCCCTCTGTGGTAGCCCATTTCTCTGTCTTAAAAGATGGATTCATGGCTGGGCTGTCCCTCTTTCAAAATGGAAGGTTCGGTGTCTCTGCCCTTTAGGGGCGTGAGAGGCAACCACACATCACCACGCATCGATGTTTCTCTCCCTCTCTTTCTCCCTCCCTTCCCTCTCTCTAAAAATAAACAAATGAAATTTTTTTCCAAAAGAGCATTTGATCCATTCTCTGATCTGAGATGTAGCAAATGTTTGTCCTCATAACACATCTGTGGCTAAATATAGCATAAAATAAACATTTTCCTAATCTTCGGTTTTATTTCAAGGTAAGTCCCTGTCGAACCGGACTCTCACTTTTCAATATGCTCTTGGAGAAGCCACTTTAGCTGCATTTGTTTTATTAAGGGGACTTCTCTCAGTCCCAGGCCCCTTGGGTGCCAAGGCAGGATTCCCTGGCGGGGAGGCGAGGCCCCCACGCTCCACGCGGGGCCTGCAGGTGACACCTCCGGAGGAGGCAGCTCAGCGCCCCTTCAAATGCCTGCTTGTCCTCTTGAGGAAGTTACTTGCCACTCTGGACCCTCTGTCCCCACCTGTATGTGTAAGTGAGCTTATCTCTCGGGGTGGCTCCGAGGGGTAAGTAGGTGCCCCCTGCCCCCGAGAAGGGCGCTGTTGGGTTGAATCCATTGCTGAAACGCAGGGGCCGCTTCAGCCACTGCTGGGCCGGGCCCTCCCTCCACCCTGGGCTGCCAGTCTGGCCCGGGCCCCCCCAGCAGGAGCCGGCCTCCCGGCCACACCGGCACATGCTGCCGGTCCCCTGCCGTCCGGGACTCCTGCCTCCTCGGGGCTGCCTGTCCCAGCCTAAGACACGCACACCCCCAGAGGCCTGCCCGGGGCCCCCACACGACATGGTTCCCCCTCTCCCCTCCCCCCCAGCTCTGCTCCCAGGAGGGTGGCGTACCTCACCGTTGACAGATAGCAGCTTCTCCTCCAGAGTATGGGCATGCGGAGCAGGTCCAGCAGCAACTGGCGGGCCCTCGCAGAGGCCGCCTCCTCCACGGTGGACATCAGCACCTCTGGGGGGCACAGGACCACAGTGAGTGTTGGGCCCGTGGCCCTGCCCCACCCCCGTGCCAGGGAAAGGTGTCCAGAGTGATGGGGGAGCCTGGCCTTGACCTCTGGAGACTGCAGGGCCCTTGGGGATGGGTGGGATGGGGCCAGAGGCCGGGGCCTCTGCCTCCTGGCCGGCCTCCTCTGAAGACCTGGCCCGCCTCCTCGGAACCAAGGAGAGAGTCTCAGCACCAGCTCTCAAGTCCCCTGCTCTCCACCAGACTTTGGGAGGCGCTCGGCAGCTGCTACGCAAAACCCCGCCCTCCTCCCTCACTCACCCAGGCTGGCACCAGGGCCTTCCCGCTCCAGCTGCACTGGCTGCTCTCTGCACCCCAAGGGCCCATCCGGCCTCCTGCTGCACCTCTGGGCCCCGTAGGCCCTGCGCTCAGCTCCGTCCTGGTCGGCTCTGACTTGCCTCTTCCTGGAAGCCTCCCCTGATCCTCCTGCCCCAGGGCGATTTGTGTCCTCTCGTTTCTGGCTGCACATCCTCCCACACCTGTTTCCCTGAAATACTCACCTTTGAATAAGAACGTCCTGTTGCCAAACCCATGAGGTGGGTGTGCAGTACACGTGGACTAGGGTGGTGAATAATAGGGGTGTGTTGTTGAAAACAGTTCTATTGTTATTGGTGGTGGTGATGGTAGTTATGTTTGTGATAGTGGTGGTGGTGATGGTGGTGATGGCGGTGGTGATGGGGGTGATGGTGGTGATGGCGGTGGTGGTGGTGATAATAACAGAGATGGTGAAGGTGACAGTAATGGTGGGGGTCACGGACCTGGTGGTGGGTACCACTGATACTGATAATATATCGGCAGATGTCCTTTCCCAGTCACATCCCACGCTCTGGGACCCAAAAAGCAGCATCTCACCTCTCTGGTCAGTGTCTTCCTGGCATCCTTGACGCCATTTATCCTGGCCACCTTTTTCAGTTCCTGAGGGGCTCGGTCTGGTTTGCCAGCACTAATTAGCCTTCGTGTTGATTTTGGCAGCCACCTTTTAAAGAAAGAATGTCCTGGTTGGGTCTTTGCTTTTCCCACGCACGCTGGGCCCACCCCCCAGGTCAGGTGTGGAGGGCGCGGCAGGCAGCAGGTCCACCCCCCCCCCCCATACAGGAGGGAGGGGAAGGCAGCCACGCCTCCCTCTGCAGGGCTAATGCCAGGCTGGGCGATGCCGCCTCCCAGACTTTCAGATGAGGGCCAAAGCCTTGCCCCCAGGACCGTCCCATCTGGCTCCTGGAAGCCAGATCCTGCCCACCTGGGCGGTGCCCACAGCGGGCTCCCAGGCTGCGTGGGCACAGGCCGATTCTGGGGCCATTGCCATGGCAGAAGCTGACATCATGCTGAACTAAAAACAACTAACCCACGCATTAAAAACATTGCCAGCCAGACCGCATGGTTCTAGGAGCCAGTCTGCTCCTTCCCCGCCTCGGGGCAGGTGGGCAGGGAGAAGGGTCTCCCCGGGGGAAGGTGCGGAGTTCCCCAGCCAGCAGGGTCTCCGCCCAGTGTGTAGAGAAGCTACGAGAAACTTCCAGAGGCAGTTAAAAGAGCCCACTGGCCTGGGTTCCCATCCTGTCTCTGGCCCTCACCAGCTGCAAGGCCTTGGGCAAGCGACTGACCCTCTAAGGCCTCAGTCCCTCATCTGAAAACACTGGTAATAATATCACCTCCCTCGTTAGAAGAAACATTAGCACACATCTGGTGTTACCGGCAGCTTCCAGGACACGGCCAATCGGCCCTTGGGGGCGTCACTGCCCGCTGCCTCCGTCCTTGCTCATGGATCCTGTTTATACAGTGAAACTCCACGTGGTCAGTGGCTTTGTCTGCTGACGTGTCCCCAGGGCACAGGGTGGGGGTGCGGTGAGTACCTGAGAAGTGGTGAGCAACCCCGTATGACTCCCTACACCCACAGCAGACTTACCTGGGCCCAGGTGAGCTCAGCTCCCACGCACGGGGACCTTCGTGTTTGTCTCCCGGGTCTCCTCCTCCAGTCCCACCCAAGCAGGTACGGCCGGACCCCGGCACCTGTTGGCTCCAGAACTCATCGAACTCTGCACTCGCCGAATTTTCATGAGAAAAAGATGTTTCAGCCCTTGGTGCTTGCTCGGGGCTCGTCACACTTGTAAAACTTGTATGAGTCACAATGCGGCCCCACAAGAGAAAATGCTTCGTCGTTTGGTAGTTGTCAGCTTCGGCACTTGTTACACGTTCCTGAATGAATTATGGCGAGTACCGAGGTCCTGCTGTATTTGCAGACCTCAGGGATTTTTGCAGCACCAAAATAATAGTGATGATGAGCCCTGGCTGGTGTAGCTCAGTGGATTGGGCGCGGCCTGCAAACCAAATGGTTGCCAGTTCGATTCCCAGTCAGGCCACATGCCTGGGTTGTGGCCCAGATTCCCAGTAGGGGATGCGTGAGAGGCAACCCCACATTGATGTTTCTCTCCCTTCCTTCCGTTCTCTCTAAAAATAAATAAAATCTTTAAAAAGTAGTAGTGATGATGACATCTTTCCGTATCCAATGCCAGTCCTCAGGACTCACATGCTCTCGACCAGCGACGTGCAGGCGCGGCCGCCGCGCGGAGGGGCTGCTGCCCATGGGAGGGAGCCCGGCGGGCTGGGCGGGCCCCAGACCCTCTGGCCGGATGCCCCCCTGGATCCCCAGCCTGTCTCTCCGCAGCGAGGGCCCCGCTCACATCACCCCTTTCCATGGCTCTCAGCTTCTTGGACTCACGGCCAGCCAGGTGGTGGTGGGGCTGAGGGGCACCCTCCCACCCTGGGTCCCCCTCCTGTTCACAGACGTACGGCGTGGTCCTCGCCACCACGGAGCGGCGACGTGTTCCCGTGCAGGTGAGAGCCATGCATGGCGGCCTTGGGCCACCACCACCTCCCCGCGCAGGGGGCCGGCCGAGCGAGTGACTCACTGAGTGTCGTCGGGGTCAGAAAGAGCCCGGCTAATCCAAAAGTGCGGAAAAACCGGAGGCTACAATAGACAAGGAAACCGGGGGCAAAGACGGCTCCGGGGGTGCCCCTCCGGAGCTTCAGGCCCTGGCGCTCGCACGCCAGGCCCCGCTGGAAGAGAAGGAGGGGCGACAGCCGGCTCAGGGGACGTGGACCAGCTGGGCCGGGGCCGAGGGAGGTCCAGGCTGGGTCCCGCGGGTTCGGCCACCCACAGTGGGGCCCCCAGGTCCTTAGCCAGGTGACAGAGGTGGAAGGGTGTGCTGGCCTCCATTCCCTACACACAGCCAGCGGCATGGCACGCAGGTGACAAATGTGACAGGCTTTGGTCCTGACAGTGTGATGGCCACTGCGAGCGCACAAGTACTTGGTGGCGGCAGTGGTGGGAGGTGGTTAAACAGAGGCTCAAATTCCAGCTCTGGGGACCTGGGGGAGTCCCCTGCGCCGGCTGAGCCCATTTTCTCCCCCAAGAGCACCCACAGGGACCACGCGTGCGTCCCGGGAGGTTTCGGGCAACTTCAGCCCAGGATGGGCCTCATCCCCTGGCCCTGCCTCCACCCCCCACTGGGCTGAGGTTTCCCTCGTGTCTCAGCGTCTGCCTTTCTCTCCAGGGTGGTGGCAGCAGGAGCCACCTTGTGAAGTGACCTCTTGAAAATGCAAGTCAGATCACCGGGCTGCCCTGCCCCAAAGCCGCCTCTGGGGACTTTCCTTTGCACTTGAAGAAAATCGAGCTCCTGTCCCACTCCCCACCCCCACTCCTGGCTCAGACCTCGGGGCTCTCTCCCTGCCTCCAGGAGACTGGATCCTTTTCTAGTAATCTAGTCTCACCTTAAATGTCCCCTCCTCAGAGAGGCCTGCCCCCTGCCTGTCCCTTTCCCATGACAGGACCTGCTTCCCACCTTTGCACTCGCTCACGACTCTGGAAGCAGGACAGGAGGGCGAGGGGAGTCCCAGGCTCTGGCCCCTGACTGCCCAGGTCGGGTCAAGTCCCATTGTACTTTCGCTGTGTGTCCTGGGACAAGTTACTTAACCTCTCTGTGCTTCTGTGTGGTCCTTTATTAAATGGAGATAACAATAAGCCCCACCCCATGAGATGTGACTATAGGGAAAGCTTTTGGGACAATGCCTGCTACTTAAAGGGCAAAAGGAGAAGACGCGTTATGTTGCTATTATTGGTTGAGACGTTGACCAATTACAAAAGCACCAGCTGACCTAAGACTCTGGGAGCCTCCTGCTCCTCCTGCAACCCGAGCCGAGATCAGAACCCGGGCCGCTGTGGACAGTAATGTGTCATTTCACTGCAGTGCTGCAGGCGGCACGACCTCCCAGTCCCGGGTGGACGGCCGTCACCAGGAGGCCAGGAAGGAGGAAAGCTACGGTGCGGGTGGGGGGAGGCCCCTACCTCGGCCACAATGGTGGAGGTGAAGGTGCTGCCGTCGTAGACCCAGCCGTCCACGCAGGGCTCTGTGGCTGCCTCGCTCCAGTTGGTGACTGTGGCGTTGGGGTCCAGGAGCTGCCACTGAGGGTGGCGGAAGCGGTGACACTGGTGGGGACCGTGGTTGGGGCCCGGTGGGGTGGAGGTGACCCGGAGCACTTCGGGTGTGAGGGCCGAGGGGGACTCAGAGCCATTGTCCAGCATGTGGGCCCAGCAGCAGTGGCCAGGGGCGGCCACCGAGAAGTTGTCCAGAAGCATTTGGGAGGGCACGAAGACGGAGGGCAGGAGGAGAGAGATGACTTGCAAGACCTGGAAGAGACCCACAGCCCCACTTGCCCCGAGAGCTCGGAGAATGCCGTGGCCAGAGCCGCCAGCACCCACGGCAGGTCTCCTGGTGGGGATGGGAGGGGGGCGCAGTGGTCAGGGAGCCGGTGGGTGCCCGGCCTGCTGCCAGGAACCACTAGCTAGTGCAGGGTCCTGGGCCCCCAGGCCCGCCCCGACCACCTCTCTGGACAGGCGGGTTTAGCCACTGACCAGCAACCAGCCAAGCCAGTCCTGGGGTGACCTCGATGCCCTAAGAAGCTCCTCCTCACCCTGTTCCTGCGAGGGACTGCGTGGGGGCCCCGCCGCTCTGGGGACACTGGGGCCAAAGCTCACTGTGCCCCACTGCCTGCAGTGCCTGAAGCCCCCTGGCTCTCCAGCACTGAAAGGCCAGGCAGGTTTTTCAGGAACAGTGAGATGCCACTCGGTGCGGTTACTGAATTACAGTCGTGGAGGAAATACCCACTGTGGGCTGCCTCCTCGCAGCCTGGGTTAAAGTTCAATCTCCACATGGGCTCCGGGGTGAGGGAGGCAGGCTCAGCTGTGAGAATGTCCCCAGCTGCGCCCCACCGGCCGGCTCCCAAATCTGAAGCTTTCAGAGCCCTCCACATGCGGCCCTTTAAGTCAGGGAACGGTTGGCCCCACTTTACTCATGCTGGACAACTTCAGCCCATCTTGCTGAAGCACAGAGGTGAGGATGAAGGGCCTCACCTCCCACTGGGCCGTGAGGAGGCAGGGGTGGGGGTGGGGCACCTGTGAGCTTGCGACTCCTCCCTCCTTCCCCAGCACCTTCACCAGGCAGCACTGGGAGACCAGCTCGCAGACCGCACTATTTTGGGAAGCTTCCATTTCCAGGTTCCAGGTTGCCTTTATTAGATTGTAAGCTCCCCCAGGGTGGAAACCAAGGCTACAATTTTCTGGCATCCCTTAGAAGCCCCTCTGTGGGCCCTGGAGCTGGGCAGGCGCACAGGGTCAGAAACAAGTAAGGTCACAAAGTCACGCCCCCGTTGACCCAGTGTCTCACACCAGTGTGGTTCGGTGTGAGGAGGGGCCAAGTCAGCCCTGCCCTGTGCCTCACCTGGACTGCTGCTTGCTCTGCTCTGTGCTGACCATGCGGCTGACACCCTCTGGTTCACGCCTCATTACAGCCCAGGAGAAAGGTGGTGCTAATTTCCTGAGACAAGGAACCAGGCTCAGAGAGGGCAGGCAGCTCGCCCCAGGTCACACAGCGGAGTCAGGATTCAAATCAGACTCTAAAGCCCGAACTCTGCTCTGGCTGGTGTGGCTCAGTGGCCCCAGCGCCAGCCTTCGAACCTCTGGTTCAGTCGGGGCACATGCCTGGGTTGCAGGCCAGGTCCCGGGTAGGGGCCACGTGAGAGGCAACCACACACTGACGTTTCTCTCCCTCTCTTCCTCTCTGTCTAAAGATAAATAAATAAAATTTTAAAAAAATAATAAAGCCTGAGCTCTTCCCATGCCCTTGGCCAGCTGCCGTGGGGCCTCGGGCCTGTCGTGGACCAAATTTCAGCCACAGGCTGGAACTCAGGATTTGGGTCAGAAGGAGGGCCAGCCCAGGAGCCCAAAGCCACCTCCCAGGACGTGAGAGGGAATCGGTTGAGTCAGTTGCAGAGGGGATTCCGAGTGCCGAGTGCGTGCGGGACGTGTGGGTGTGCATCTGGGCCCTGCGCCCCCCAGAACTCCCTCACGGGACTCGGGGAGCTTGGCCAAGATGTCATCCAGCCTGGAAGTCAAAGAGTCGGATTCCGGGCCTGGATTTCAAAGCCAAGGCCGTGTCCTTACTCAGCCTCTCTGGGCAGGAGCTCATTATACACTTTTGTAAATCCTCACCCAAGGATATGTTTATCGATTTTAGAGAGAGAGAAAGGGAGAGAGAGATACCACTGTGAAAGAAAAACATCGATTGCTTGCCTCCTGTATGTCTCCCGACTGGGGATCAAACTGCAGCCTAGGTGTGTGTCCTGACCAGGGATTGAACCTGCAACTTTTGGTGTACGGAACGGTGCTCCAACCAACTGAGCCACCCGTTCAGGGCTTGTTATGCATTTTAAAATAGCAAACAGAGAGACGCAGAGAGAAAACCACCTCTCACTAAAGCGCAGGAGGCCAGTCGGGCCCAACCCCAACCCAGAGCAGCCCAAGGCTGATTTTTACACGGAAAACACTGTTCTGTGCCTGTGTACAAACTCCATCCCACAGGGCAGGTCTGGACGCAGGACCACTCCCTCGAAGAGAGACTTCCCCTCTCCGGCCATGTCAGTGTTTCAAGCCAAAGCCTGGATCGGAAGCCTCGGGAGGGTCCGCTAAAATGCCGGTTCCTTGGGCCCAGGAACATGCATTTTACCCCAGGCCTCCAGGCCATTTTGCTGCATTGGGACCCAGCCTCCCCTGCAGAGGATTTCTGGGCTAGAGGAGGCTGCTAAATCAAGGCATCTGAAAGAATTCTTTTCTCTTTCTTCTTCCATGGGCTTTAAAAAATGTTCTCTTTTCCCCTGCCTTTTGCCTGTGGTGGACGCCCTAGGCTTTGCTTACAGCAGAAGGTCAAACCTCCTGGATGAGACAGAAGGCTCCTGGAACTTCCAACTGCCTCCCGCTTCCACGCCAAGGAATTTTGACTTGTCTTTTTTTTTTTTCTGGCGCCTCTGGGGGCAGGGCTTCCTACAGCAGCTCCTCCCCCTGGTGGTCACAGCCAGGACTGCAGCATTTACAGCATCCGCTCATCCTTGTTGAAGTGCCCATCCCCCACCCCCACCTCAGGGTTCCCAGGCCCAGGTGGGGAGCAGAGGCCCAGGGGAGGGAGACAGGCAGCCTCAGGTTATAGCCCCTAAGCCTTCCTTCCAAGTGTCTCGTTAAATTAATTGGCGTGAATTAAACCCCTGGTTCTCATTGAACCAGAATTGCCACTGGTGTGGATTCTCCGGGTCAATTAAAGCCAAGGTGAGCTCAGCTGCAGATGCCCTTAGGCAGCTCACCTTCCTTCTCTGACCCGAAGCTCCCCAGCTCCCCCTGGCGGCCTTCCACCTGAGGTAGTAAGATCTAATGAGTGAAGGAACATAGCCATCATCATCACCGCCCCCGCCCTGGTCATGGCGCCTCGCCCACTTTTCTTCCTGTGTTTCTTTCCCAGTTGAAGTCAGGGCCTCTCCGAATCAGTGGGACCCCTGGGTTTGGCCCCCGCCTGCACCCTGGGGAGAACCGGGGGTCAGGAGAAGGGAAGGGTCCTTCCTAGGTTCGCGGCCTGGGGTTTGCAGGGTCTCAGGTCCTGACTCGAGGTTCAAGGCTTCCTGCACTAACCTGTGCGAAGAGAGACAGTGATCCATCAGAAAGCCAAAGAAACAGTAGCTATAAAGAAAAAAATAGGAAATAAAACAAAAAAAAAGAAAAATAAATAAGGAAACGGTAGCCACAAAATGTCTATCTTTCTGTCTGGAGAACAAGCAGGCCTCCTGGGGCTGGGCAGGTGGCGCTGAGCGTCACAGAAGGAACGAGGGCAGATGTCCCCTTCTCAGCTCCTTCCGTCCTCCCTGAGGGCCCAACTATGGGGACAGGCCCCAGTGACACCCAGCTGAAGGCAGTTCTTGCTTCCCTCTGGAACGCTCCTCGGGTTGCTGCCCGGCGGGGGTTTAGCCCTCCCAGGTCTCAAACAAAACCTCCTCTTTGCACACCCTCCTGAGTGCTCCCACGCGCCTTTTGCGGGGTGGGGAGGCTGGAGGGAACCCCTAAACTCAGTCCCCTGGTCTCTCTTACGGCATGCAGGCTGTGAAAGTCACAGACTCATGTCAGAAACAAAGAAGTCCCTTCTCTGGTGCCCCGACCCCAATGATCCCACGCCCAAGAGGAGCCCCACGCACTGCTGGCCTCCACGCACTCAGAAACACGGCGCCATGGGCGAACGTCATTCCTTTTTACCGAGAAGCTGTGCGAGCGCACGGCCAACAGCCCAAAGTCCAGAATGTGGAAAATGACGCGCGCACTTCCCTTTCCCCAGCATGCTTGGCTGCCCAGGGACAGTGGCCACCAGCAACGGATGTCCTTCCAGAAAAGCTTAGCACTTCTTCAAACACAGGCGTCAGGTTTTAAAATAGTTGAATAGGCAGTAAATCCACACGGTTCTAAACCACACAGGAGGAAAAGGCTCTCTCTCAGCCCCTCCCCACCCCCAGGGGTCGTGCTTGCCACGCCCCCTCCAGTACCCCTTTCCAGTTTCTTAGGCACCCTTGCAGGTTGTCCCCCCCACCCTGCCACAAGAGACGGTAAATGTGCATTCTCAGTTTTACTTTCTCTCACACAGAAGGTAGTTTTGCATTTTGCATTTGTCTCCCACCTTACACCTTGGGCGCCCGAGAGGTTCTCCTCCGTCCGTCGCAGTTGCGGAGTGCTCCGCGGCCTGGATGTCCGTAATTTCTTCAACTAGCCTCCTGTGCACGGACACTGGGTGGCATCCAACGTCTCCATACTGCAGAGGAGTTGAAGCGCGTGCCCTGTCCCGAAGCCGTGCCGCGGCGTCTGCAGGGCGCAACCCCAGCGGCCGGGCCGCCTTGTGCAGGCCTCAGGGGCCTCGCGGCTTGCAGAGGCGGCCCGCTGGCCCTCCCCAGGAGCACACCCCCGAGTCGGCTCCCTCACCCAGGGCACTGCCACCACACCTGCGGCATCCTGCCAATACCGTGGGTGACAGACGGCATTTCAATGTAGTTTTATTTTGTATTTTTTTGTTATGAGATTGAGTATCTTTTAATATAGTTAAGATGTATTTTTTTCTACAAGCTGTTTTTTGGTATGCTTTGTCTATTTTTTTTATTGCAGTTCATGGCTTCCTCCCCAATTTCTATAAGCCCCTTATGTATTAGGTTGGCTCTTCAGTGGTAAAAGTTGCAAATACATTCTTTTTGTCTTTTGATTTTGTTAGCATGTTATTTATTTTTTTTGCCTGTGGAATTTTTTTGGTAATTAAATTTTCAGTCTTGTCTATTTTGACTTTTGGATTTTGCACCATCATTGGAAAGGCCTTTCTCCACTCCGTGGTAATACAGTTCCGAGGTTGGTCACTTTTAATGAAGGGGGGCGGCGAGGATGTCACGTGTCTGTCAGCACCTGTGGGGTTGATGGCAGGACTTCTCCCGTTAAATCTGTGGATCTGATGCGCTCCATTAATGAATTTTCTAAATTATGCTGAACCATCCTTTCATTAAGGGGTAAGTGTTCTTTTTTTTTTTTCTTTTAAGATTTTATTTACTTATTTTTAGAGAGAGGGGAAGGGAAGGAGAGAGGGAGAGAAACATCACTCTGTGGTTGCCTCTCATGCGCCCCCTGCTGGGACCTGGCCTGCAACCCAGGCATGTGACCCGACTGGGAATCGAACCAGTGATCCTTTGGTTCACAGGCCAGCAGCGCTCAATCCACTGGGCTACCCCAGCCAGGAACAGGGGTAACTGTTCTTAGACCAGTTGTATTATTCTTTTAATGCACTGCCAGATTGTTTTTAATGTTTTATTTCAAGTTTTTCATGAATATTCACGTATGAGGTTTGGCTGTGGTTCCTCCCTATGATCTTTGTCAGGTTTTGGTATCAGCGTTTTATTCTCACTTCATTGAAAAGAGTTCGGCCATGCTCTCTTGCGCCCTGACTCAGTTTACCTAAGGGAGGGTTTCCTCCCTTCGTCTGCGGGTCTGGGCCATCGGAAGTAACCTGCCTCCTGGCCCTCGCTTTGTGGGAAGGCTGAGAAACGTGGTCACCGGAGGCTCTGGGACTCAGCAAGGAGAGATGGCAGAAGGGGGTCTGAGCCGAGCCTGAGTTTCCAGGAATTAGGATTTTGACCAGACAGTCTCAAGTCTGAGCTTTATTTGCTTGGATTGGTCGGGCTGCTCATGCACAGAATTTTGTCTCAGCCCCACCCCCCACATGCCCTCGTCACCCGCCACCAGTTTGAGCTTTGACCAGATGCCAGAACGTGAAGCTCCGAAACCCCTGGAATCTTCCCACCCCCCTCAGCCTCCCGCTGGCTCTTCCCAGGGTGGGAGGGTGAGGCTGAACTTCCCTGCGCATCCAGCCGCCTCGGTCCACTCCCTGATGCTTGCCTTCTGTTCATCTCCTTTGGTTTTGTGGGCCAGGGGCCCACAGTGTCCTT